GACAAGAATCCTAGGAGTTGAACCAAGACTGATGTTATACAGTGATTCGTCAAGCTCAAGACAGTTGATCTCAAGAAAAGGCTTAGGAAGAGCACGCCATTTACAAGTGGACCTTTTATGGATCCAAAGAATCCCGAAGCTTATTATAAAGGCGATAGCAGGTAAGGACAATCCCTCAGACCTAGGGACCAAATCCCTGACACGGGAGAAGATACGAAAGTATATGCTAAGCTTAGGATACACAGGCGAATTTCTGACACCAAGTGATCAAGAAGTCCAAGAAGCTGAAGTGAGAAGGACAAGAACAAGAAGTGTTCCAAGATTCGATGAAAGGATGATTACAAGGATTATCCAGACGGTTACGACCGCAGTGTTGTTATCGTTAGCTGAAGCAAGAAGATTCGGTGAAGAAGGAGACCAAGGACTGGGAAGAGCAAGTGTAGTTTGCATATTGTTGTGCATGTTCATATCAGCGATTATGCATAAAGTCGCAAGCGCAGCCGTTTTGCTCAAGAAAGAAGTCTTGAAGGAAGAAGAAAAAGAAGAAGATAGGACAAGAGCAATGGCAGATGACGACGCAGTCAAGTATATGATCACGGAGTGCAGCAGAAGCATCGAGGCTACCACTTACCTCGAAAAAGTGCTCAAGAGAGAACGGTCACAAAGGCCAAGCACTGAAGACCTCTGGAAGGAGGTAGAGGCGATCAATCAGCAGTACGAAGTCAAGACTACTGACAAGAAGAATGAAGAAAAGTCAGAGAAAAAGGAGGAAAGTGAAGCAGCGTCGGATCCAGAGTCCGATGAGTCAAAGGACAGTGAGTCAGCAGAGAAAGATGATGAAGAAGAAGTGCCAGAAGACAAGAAGGAAGAAGATTTGGAGACGTTCAAGAAAACTGCAGAAGAATTGGCAGAAGAAGCAGAAAGGTTGAAGAAATCGCAAGAGGCTAACTTCGCAGCGTTGAAGCAAGGAACTATTCGGATACCAGAACACGTCCAGGAAGGATAAGAGAGCAAGGAGAGATCATGGACGAGAAGCTGCAGCAGCTGGAGGAAATGAAAGCAGCAGCCAAGGAAAGAAGAGCAGAAGTTATCGCAGAAGCGGACACCGTTGTGGAGAAGAGAGAAGAAGAGAAGCCAACGGAAGAAGAAAAAGAGAAGCCAAGAGAAGAGGAGAAGCAAGAAGAAGAGGAGAAGCAAGAAGAAGAGGAGAAGCAAGAGGAAGAGAAGAAGGAAGGTGAAGAGCCACAAGAGAAAGAAGAGAAGAAGGATGCCGAAGAATCGGTAGTTCAATCCTCTGACGAGGAAGCCCGTGAAGCAAAAGAAGCCCTCAGAAGTGGATTCAACGTAGACACAATGTCTATATTCCCAACAGTCATGGGACAGTTGAATATCGAAAGCATTCGGCAATCAATGCCAACAACGTCTTTAGAAAAAGAATTCTTGACGTGGCAAGAGCAGATGAGGCGCCCCGTTTCAAGACTTCCATCGGGGTACGGACTAAGGACCGCAGAGTTTTTAGCAAAAGTGGAAGACGACATGCAAGAATACATGGAAAGCATGTCCACGCTCACCGAAGACGAGCGCAAAGCAGAAGAAGCTTACAAGCAAGCTAGAGAAGAGATGGATCGATATGAGCAAGAACTCAAGAAGGAGATGAAAGAAAAGCTCGAGGCAAAGATGAAGAAAGTTCGAGAACTCGAGGAAGATGCAGTCGCAGCAAGAGGAGATGTTGAAAAGACAAGCAATGTGAGAAGTGCGTTGCAGCAGCTAGGCGAAGTGGTACAAGTGGCAGACAAGCTATTGTCAGCTTTAAGTGAAGAGTTCAAAAGCCTAGATTTGTACACAAGGCCAGACCCAGACAAGGAGAAAGAAAGACAGGCCTTAGCAAAGCTTATGGCGACGATCAAGAAGAAAAGCGAGGCAAACAACCCGTCAACACCGGCAGCGAAGATAAAAGCAATGCCAAAGAAAGTGCCAAGCGTTCTCAAAGGAGGACCGACAATCTCTGAGGAGGAGAGAAAGGCAGCGAATACGAAGGAGAAGCAGCTGGAATTGAAGCGCAAGCTGAGAGAGCAGTACAAAGAAGCGACAGATGAGTCGATTGATAAAGCAGAAAAGGCAAAGTTTGATCATGGCAAGGAGAAGCCAAGTGAGCCAGAAGGTACGCCACCAAAAAGGCAGGTGAATCCGTATTGGCTCAAGGATCAAAAGGAAGAGTCATTCAAGAAGACCAAGTACCTACACTGCTTTTACTGCAAGGCGTCAGACAAGCACAAAGCCCCGGAATGTCCGGAAATGGAGAGAGCTGTCAGACTTTACTACAACGGCGAACGGCCAGACAGCAGCAATACCGAACGCAAGATCTTTTGCAAGGTATGTTTTCTCTACTTCCAAAACGTGTCCTACCGCTCATTCAGATATAAGGGCTGGGGTACCCATACCCCAGACATCTGCAATTACAAGGAGAGCGTAAGGACTTACCTGGAAGACAATGCATACAAGTATGAGAAGGAGTTGAAAGACTTCCAAGAGACATTTTGGTTCAGGATACACGCCAAAAGACAGTTGGGGAGCAGAACCAAAGAAGTCCAAGAAAAGTGATGAGGCAAAGGCTGAAGAAAAGACTGTGAAGAAAGCAGAAGAGAAAGAGCCAAAGAAGAAAAAGCCGGCGGACAAGTCCAAGAGCAAGGACAAGGATAAAGAGAAGAAAGTTGAAAAAGCCGAGAAAACCGAGAAGGCTGAAAAGGTTGAAAAGGAGAAGAAGCGTAAGAGCGTATCTCCGTTCGATCAAGCAAGAGCTGAGAAACGCCAGCGAGATGAAGAAGAGTTGATGTAAACCGTTGAGCCGGATCAAGGATATGCGGTACGGTTTAAAGAAGAGCAAAAGAGCGTGAGGGCGTTTACGATGCCCAGCAAGAAAAGAGTGAGGCTGAAATCAGCCAGGCAAGCGTGAGGGCAAAAGTGCCCAGGCAAAATGTTTCACAACGAAAGCTTTGGAGAAGCTACGAAAAGCCACGAGGATGGAAAGATCCCACGGCAACGACAAAAGCAAAAGCCACGTGGACGCAATGTCCCACGGCAACGTCAAAGCACTACGAGCACTACGATGAATTCAAAAGTCAATGTTCACAGAAGGACTAATGACAGAAAGTTTGACAGAAGTTTCCAGATTGCCGAAGGGCAAGGATGGACTACGACTACATCGCGTATCGCGACGTAAAGAAAAAGTGAGTGTGCATGTAGATTGGAGTGAGTCCATGCCAAATGTGTGTGGAAAGCAAATTCGCAAATCTGCTATAGGACATCTGAAGATTGAGGATGAAGGCCAAAGGAAGAAAAGGAAAGAGATGTTCAATAAGTGCTCAAAGAAGCGTGTGAGAAGAGAAGGACAAGCTCACAGGAGCATGCGAAAACTGTGGTAGAAGTAGGAAAAGTTTCACAAGGATCACGTGACACGACAAAGCTGTGTACGTGATGAGGGCGTAACAGAATGTTCAATTTTCCCTCACGCCCAATTTACCGCAAGTTTCACTGCGTATCTCCGTAGGTCAAACGTAGGCTCAAGACAGCCTGACAGCAGAGCGTGTAGTGAGAAAAGAATCTGAAGCTCGCGCCGTGCTGTAACAAGGATACTGGTTTAAGGGTTTAAACTTTCAAACACGCATGGCAGTGCTGAGAAGCAGTTCGACCGAAGCCCTTTCGAGGAAAAGCCAAGCGACTTGTTGTTTTTCACATTGTCCTGCGACCATCGCCAGGGTGCTGTGAGGAGCTCCTTCTGTGTGAATTTCAAATCCCGTGCCTTCCCCCAGAAAGCGCAGGACTTCGGATTTAGGGTTTATGGGTTTATGGGATACGGTCTAGGGTTTCGGGTACCCTAAACCCTGAACCCCTAAAAGAACCTCTTCTCGGATACTTTTAAAGGGACTCTTCGGGGAAATTTAAACCTTAAACCCCAACTCTTAAAGGAACCTTCATACAGAAGCCCCGCGCTCTTAGATGCGACCACATTGCTTCAAAGCCCGGGACCACAAAGCCCGCGACCACAAGGAGCGAGAGAAGGTCGATTTTGGGGTTCGGGGATTTTGGGGCTTCATAATTGAGGGTATGCCTAGGGGTTTTGTAGGGGAGGGGTCCCGTGCATTTCTGTAACAAAAATAAAGATTGCATGGTCAGGTCTCAAGACCTCGATTGCACCAAGTCGGTTTGCGTCTTAAGCCAAGCTCTTCAATGCTCCACCCATGAGCCCAAACTCTCAAGCAAGGCGCAACCAACATCAGGAGCCGCGAAACCAGACCCCTAAACCAAGAGACCGAAACTGCAAAACTTCACATAGACTTAGACCTCAAACCCTGAATTCTCACATCCAAACGCTTCTAAACATATAAACCCTGAAACTTGAGAACGGGACCATAATTTTGTAATGCGTTCTACTCACTCACAATCGCCCTACCTGCACACTCATTCGCTGGAGCCTCACCACCCCAACAGTCCAAACCTCTAAGCCCTTCGCCCCTGAACCCTTACAGTGCCCTTACACAAACAATTAGAGAACACCCATCGACCCTTTGTAAAATTCCATATCCCCATCCTAAATCCCTTAAATTTCAGACCCTGCACCCTAAGCCCAAAGAGTGCGTTCGCTTGCGATGGCGTTGTCTCGGGCGACAGCGAAACTAGCTTCCGTGTGTAGCGAACTGTGTTGTCCGTTTGTTATCATTCTTTCCGCTTCCCATCTATTTTCAACAAAAAAATTCTGATGTTTCTTTCCGTTGCAGAAACGTCGGCTCCAGAAATGGACCCTAACAGTCTCGCTTTGAGACAACCCAAGACCGATGGTTTTCAAGAACAGCCAATGCCTCTGCATGGTCGCGGCCTTGCAGGCTCGAGAGATCCTCCCGGCAAGTGGGAGATTGTCGACTGAGGAGAGTGCATTGCCATGCGATTAAGTTTTCGGTTATGCTCCCCTCACACATGAAGAATTCTGCCCCGAGAGGAAATTGATGTTCGTTCGGCTGGGTGTTTACATGGTGGCTGCCTATGACGACGAGGATGCCAGCTTACGTTTACGCTTCGGCTTCGAGACGCTTTAGGGTTTGTGCGCGTGGTGTTCTTTGTCCTGACAGCGACGAGGACTTGCAACCTAGTCTGAGAGTGCATGCAGGTGGACGGCTACCGTTGCGGACACAGCAGTGGTGGTTTTGAGACCGCGGCGGTGTCGGATGCAACCTGGGCAGTGTGGGAGATCTTCGCCGAGGTTTTAGCTTAAGTTACCCGAAGTCTTGTTGTATGAGATTTGACTTAGTCAACTCGCAGCCAACCTTCTAGAGCTGCAGGAATAGTCGTCAGCCTACAGCCTGTTCCGATCGGCTGGGGGTTGTGCACTGGTAAGTTTAGGAACAGTCCTAATAATAGTAGTTGTGGCCCTAAGAAGAAAAGAAGACTGATACCGATACTTGTAGTGATATTGGTTAACAATGAAAACATAGTATTGGATGAGTAATGGGAAAAGAAAGTACAATGTGAAAGTAACAATGACAACAATCATTGAAACAAGAGTAGGTGGAAAAACGCAATGATTATCGTGATCATCGTAACAGTATGACTAATGTCAAAAACTGAAACCCACGTAGCCACTGTGAACCCAGGATCGGTGACTTCACCCTTACTGCCTTTCTTGTGCTGGATGTTCTCGTGCGAGGAGCGATGTTGCGATGCAAGTCCTGGAAGGTGCCAATGAACTACATTGGCGTTGTCGTGTTTGGGATCTCACGCTTGGAGATAGTTCTGTTCCATGTCACGCGTGCCATTCTGGCAGCGAATCCGAGTCTTTTCCAACTGTTGTGCATCGAGAAACTGGCTAGAGCAAGTCGTATGGTTACCATGAAGAGCGGGATGACTTCCTTGCATCTGCTCATACGCTGCCTGGGCGCCAGCACGAACATCTTCTTGACACTGGTTTTTTGCTGGATCGCCTGCTTTCAATGCGTTTCGGACATGGTTGCTAGCACATTTTGCCGGGACTTCATCAACAAGGAAAGCCAGTCGCTGCAAGTGTGTGTTATTGAAGCCTCTGCAGAGATCGAGGCTGCGGAGGTGGAGCATTTCGAGGCCTTGGGCATCCAAGCGAGCCGTGCATGGTCCACATGCATGGAGCAGCTCTTTGCAAGGCAGCAGGTGTCAGACGCAGAGGCTGCAGTTCGGGAAGAGGTGCGGAAGGTGAAGTGTCGTCTGGAGAAGATGCGAGAGCTAGCGAAGGCTGCTGCGGCAGGGGCTGAGGGAGCCGCAGAGCGAAAAGTGGAAGCGAGCCGCATCTGCCGCACAGAAGCCTCAGTGGAGCGGACTTTGGAGTGCTCGACGCACTGCGCGGAGCTGGCGGCTCCTGCCGAGCGAGCCGTGGCCCAGCAGGTGGAGGCCTTTGCTGCCCTCTGCGAGCAGCGAGCCGAAGAAGGCAGCAGAGGAAGGGGCCATGGCCGAGAAAGTTTGGATCTTCGGGGAGGTTCCGGCTCTTGGAGAAGGAGCGGAAGCTCATCCAAAACGAGATCCACCGAGCCCAACGACGAACGATCGAGGTTGAGAGCGCCATAAATGAGACCGTTTCCTACAGTTACAGAGAGAGGAGCACTCGGGAGCTGAATTGCATGGAGAAGGTAGAGCAGATCGAATCTCCGCCTTCGCAGATCACGAATCTCCCGACAACCATGGTCCCCGGAGACCCAACTAGAATTTATTCAGAAACGAAAAATATCTTGAATTAGATGAATATTCAAATTCCATTCATAAAATATTCAATTTTCATATTACATCTGATCTGCGAATGAGATACAGGAGATTTGCCAGATATCTCTGCTTGCTGGATCTTAACTCTTCTATCAGTAGTTGTACGGATTCAGGCTGGCGATTTCTAAGACCACAGGGCTATAATTTTAACGCTACGCCGCCCGCCTCGGCTGTATAGCGGCAGGGCGAGGGGGCAGTCGATGTTTTTTTTATGCTAGGGCGGCCTGTCAAACCCCAACCTTTACACGGTTGTTGATACGAAGTGCGAGGAGAATGGGTAGGGGAGGGGGGGCGAGGGAAG